AAGCGCAAAAGCCGGGTTGCAGCTAAACATAAAAAAAAACCAAGATTATGGCAACAAGAATGACTGACAACTGGAAAATAGAGGGAGAAAATGTGGAGGCCGTGACAGACTTTGTATTTCTAGGTGCAAAGATTACTGCAGATGCAGACTGTGGCCAGGAAATCAGAAGACGCTTACTTCTTGGGAGGAGAGCAATGTCCAGTCTCGATAAAATAGTAAAGAGTAGAGACATCAGACTGGCAACAAAGATCCGCCTATTCAAAGCCATGGTATTCCCTGTAGTAACCTACGGATGTGAGAGCTGGACCTTAGGGAAGGCTGAGCGAAGGAAGATCGATGCTTTTGAGCTGTGGTGTTGGAGGAAAGTTCTGAGAGTGCCTTGGACTGCGAGAAGATCCAACCAGTCCATCCTCCAGGAAATAAAGCCCGACTGCTCACTGGAAGGAAGGATACTAGAGACAAAGTTGAAGTACTTTGGCCACATCATGAGGAGACAGGAAAGCCTAGAGAAGACATTTATGCTGGGAATGGGAAAAAAGGGAAGAGGGGCTTACCAAGGGCAAGATGGATGGAGGGTATCCTTGAAGTGACTGGCATGACTCTGAAGGAGCTGGGAGTGGTGACGGCCGACAGGGAACTCTGGCATGGGCTGGTCCATGAGGTCACAAAGAGTCGGAGACGACTGAACGAATGAACAACAACAAATACAGTTAAACATCTTTGTAGACTACATAGAATCCCACTTTCAATTCCAATAAATGTAAATGCAAATATACACAAGTATCTGTGAGGGTTTTGTTTTTTTACAATTTTATGATACTGTGAAAGAACAACAAGAAAACGGCAATATGATAGGTCTATGGACTGCAATAAATATTACAATATGGAGTGAACGAATAATTAATAACAAATTCAGTATTTTTTTTTACAATGGAAATCAACCACTCGGGAACCATACATTTTGCAGTTGGAATTAACCCTAAAAGACTATTTAGTTCAGTCCCGTTCTAGGCAGCGAACATCTAAATAAAATGGAATAATCACCAGATAGTTGGTCTTATCTGTACCAATGTCATCGGGAAGGTCTCATCTTGGGTTATCACCCAATTAATTGGTGGATCCATGAGACCATTTCTCCAGAAATATCATTACATAGGGACTGTGAAAGTAGAATCATAGAAGAATAGAGTTGGAAGAGTCCACATGGGCCATCTAGTCTCTGCCAAGAGTAGGTAAACAATTTTTTTTATGAGATGCTAAATCCCTTTTTTTTTTTGTAATTCTGTAGAACAAACTGAAACAGTGATTGAAGTCAATGAATATATGTTGCATGGATATTGTAACTCTTCAGTGCATGGAAACTCCTCTTCTAACAAGAATGGTTCACTGGGTTGTTGTAGGTTTTCCGGGCTATATGGCCATGTTCTAGAGGCATTTTCTCCTGACGTTTCACCTGCATCTATGGCAAGCATCCTCAGAGGTAGTGAGGTGGCAAGCATCCTCACTAACTATGAGGATGCTTGCCATATATGCAGGCAAAACGTCAAGAGAAAATGCCTCTAGAACATAGCCATATAGCCCGGAAAACCTACAACAACCCAGTGATTCTGGCCATGAAAGCTTTCGACAATACAAGAATGGTTCAATTCTGCAAGGTACTGAATAGACTCAATAAGAGATATGCCGAAGAGACCCGAGATGCATCTAATATCAGTATTCAAGAAATCCAAAGGCAATGTAGCCTTCTGCTATTAAGCATAATCATCTTCCCGTACAACCTCCAAAAGAAGGAGCTATTGGTAATCTAGGAGAAGAATATTTTCAGCTGTGTTTTTAGATTTACACAGTGATATACAATATTTTTAGCACAACTACAGCAATTGTTATCCACTTGCTCTAACTGTGCTGGTACGGCTGTACCAGGAGCTCCAACTTTACTTTCTTGCTGTTATCTGTTTTGCAGTTGTAGGACAGGCCTCCTGTCCATCATAATTAAGCTTTGGTTCCGCCCCTTGTTCTGGGCTCTGGGAGGGAAAGGAGCCATTTTTTGGGCAGTCTCACACAAGGTAGCTAAGCTAGAGGACAGTGTTTCTCAACCTTCCTAATGCCATGACCCCTTAATACGCTTCCTCATGTTATGGTGACCCCCAACCATAAAATTAGTTTCATTGCTACTTCATAACTGTCATTTTGGTGCTGTTATGAATAGTAACAGATTGGGGGAGGGGATTGATTTTGTCCTGGGGGAGTTGTAATTGCTGGGATTTATAGTTCACCTACAATCAAAGAGAATTCTGAACTCCACCAACAATGGAACTGAATCAAACTTGGCACACAGAATTCCCATGACCAACAGAAAATACTGGAAGGGTTTGGTGGGCACTGACCTTGAGTTTTGGGAGTTGTAGTTTACCTACATCCAGAGAGAACTGTAGACTCAAACAATGATGGATCTGGACCGAACTTGGCACAATTTCTCAGCATACCCAAATGTAAACACTAGTAGAGTTTGGGGGAAATAGAACTTGACATTTGGGAGTTGTAGTTGCTGGGATTTATAGTTCACCTACAATCAAAGAGCATTCGAACCCTACCAAGGATTGAATTGGGCCAAACTTCCCACACAGAACCTCCATGACCAACAGAAAATACTGTGTTTTCTTGTGGTCTTTGGTGACCCCTCTAGTTCACCTACAATCATGCTCATTGCACATTGTAGGTGAACTAGACACCCCCTGAAACCCCCTTGCGACCCCTCCAGGGGTCCCGACCCCCAGGTTGAGAAACACTGCTATAGGACGTAGACCAGCTCGTCCCGTAGAAAAGCTTCCTTTCTCAAGAGCTTCCAGGGGAATTAACCATCCAGGAGAAAGGTCCCAAAAGCTCTGGCTGAGAGCTCACAGAGTCTCAGCCTCACAGCATCAGAGGGAACAGCCCTGAAGTTTCTAAGAACTCTCAAAGGGAAAACAGCATTACAGATCCATGGAACTCCAGCTGAAATATCTTTAAGCCTTGGCTGGTAGGTCTACTCAATACCCAGACGCATTTGGAGTTGGTAGTAGGTCCCACACCGAAGAGGCATAGATAGAAAGCAGCCTGGGAGAGGTTAAAAAGGGTTTTTTCCTACACAGAAAGTTTAGTTAATCAAAGTCAGGTGCCAGTCCATTGAGGACTAGGCTAAGAAAGCCTTGAAGTATTGTTTGAACCATTGAAGATTTGTTGTTTGTTCCATAATAAAGACTTCGTTGCATCATTAAAGACTCTAAAGACCATCACGTCAGAAAAATCCCTGAGAACCTCTCTTTGAGGCGTCCCTGGCCTCCCGCTGGGCTTAAAGTATACGTCCTATAGAAAGGTACAGCTATTACAGGCCCAGCGCGCGACAGAACACTTACTGTAAATAATTGTGCAATGAGCATGATTAACATCTGTACAGAATGTGCACACAAAATGCATTACTGAGAGAAAAAGAGAACAATAGAAAGCTGAATGAACTGTTGACAGAGGTATTGTGTTCTGTGGTGCATACACAAATCTCACTGTTATCCTTTAGTGTGTTCCTATGTTATTCAGGAGCAAGGGAGCAAGAGCCAATCACAGATCGGAATAAATGTGCCTGCCAGTGGCTACAAATCAGTGGTTGTCACATTGACATTTTAAATGTGTATAGTTAGCACAAATTAGTAGGCTTGGGCGGTTTCGTTTGTTAATTTCGTAATTCGTTATTAATTCGTATTTAAATTAGCTTACAATCCAATATTGAGCCATGCAGGAATAGTGTGAGGAGTAAATTAGATTCAAAACAATTTTTTCAATTTATTTCGTAATTGTTTCGTAATTGTTTTGTTATTATTTTGAAATTATTTCGTAATTATTTCGTAATTATTTTCGCATGTCTGGTGCAAGTTTTATAGTTGTTGTTTGTTTTATCACACCAACAGTCAACAACAGAGGCAGAGGGAAGCTTCAGAAGTTCCCCCTGTCCCATTTGGAGGTTTTTTTAGCATATTGCGCAATCGCGTCCGCTATTAACGAATCGATTCGTAATTATACGAAATTTTGTAAATTTCGAAATTTTTAAAAGGAAAATTTCGGAATTTTTTTAAAAAACGAAACACGATGGACCCCTAAAAACAAAACAAGTTTAGAAACAAATGTTTCCGTTGTTACCCAGGCCTACAAATTAGGTATACACCCAAAATGTCATGCATGATGAGAAGAAGTGTTAAACCAATATGTACAAGACATGAAATCATATATATTTTAATATGCCAGCTAAACAGGAGAAACAGGTGTGTAGACCATGGAAACAATGAATTGTTGGTCATATTGTTTTCAGCTCTCTTTAAAATATGAAGATCTCAAGGATTAGTTTAATGCAACCGGAAGTTTTCAGACTTATTGAAGCCAGAATTTGCTTGTGGAACTCAGTTAATGTATTTCTATCTATAAGTTGCAGAAGATAAGGCTGAGAGAAGACATGATGGCCATGTATAAATATGTGAGGGGAAGTCATAGGGAGGAGGGAGCAAGCTTGTTTTCTGCTACCCTGGAGACTAGGACGCAATGGAACAATGGCTTCAAACTACAGGAAAGGAGATTCCACCTGAACATGAGGAAGAACTTCCTAACTGTGAGAGGTGTTCAGCAGTGGAACTCTCTGTCTCAGAGTGTGGTGGAGGCTCCTTCTTTGGAGGCTTTTAAAAAGATGCCGGATGGCCATCTGTTGGGGATGCTTTGAATGCTTCTTGGCAGGGGGTTGGACTGGATGGACCATGAGGTCTCTTCCAACTCAATGATCCTATAATTCTATGATTCTATCCTTTTGTTAACAAAGAAGAGTGATTTGGGCATGTTTTAATCAGTATTCGGCATCGATCACGATAGTGTAGACTCATTCAAGGGTCTTGTGCCTTGGTCCTATAGTTTAGATCCAAACTTCTCATTGAAAAACGAACTTATTCTGAGCTTTTCCATGTCTTTGCTCTGTTTCCTTTTAGATGCACCTAAGCCACCAGTAGAGGAAACATTCATTCTTTCCGATGAATATGGAAGTTCGACAAGGTTCAAAAGATCTCCCGTTAAAAGCCAGAAAGGTGGCTCTTTGAATGTAGAAACTCTGGTTGTGGCCGACAAGAAAATGCTGGAGAAACACAGCAAGGAGAATGTTACAACCTACATCTTAACAGTGATGAACATGGTAAGGATGAAAGTATGCTAAATATATCCATGCCACTTATTTATTTATTATTTACTAGCTGTCCCCTGCCACGTGTTGCTGTGGCCCAGTCTGGTGATCTGGAAAATAAAGTAATGGTTTCTAATATGTGTAATTCCTTTATGCTTGTGGGTAAACAGTATTCCTTGCTGTTTGTTTGTCAGTATTGATATGGAGATTGTCTGGTTTGCCTACTCTGGAACATGCAACATATAATCGACATCGTCCTTCTTCAGGAGTCCCTTTCAAATTGATGATACTATATCTCTCTGTGTGTGAAACATATCTATCTATCTATCTATCTATCTATCTATCTATCTATCTATCTATATCTATGGCTGGATGGCTCTTCGTCAGGAGGGATTTGATTACGTTTTCTTGCCCTGGTGAAGGGAGTTGGACTGGATGGCCTTAAGTATGGGGGTTCTGTGTGGGAAGTTTGCCCCAATTCTGTTGTTGGTGGGGGTCAGCATGCTCTTTGATTATAGGTGAATTATAAATCCCAGAAACTACAACTCCCAAATGTCAAGGTCTATTTCTCCCAAACTCCATCTGTTTTTATGTTTGGGCATATGGAGTATTCATCCCAAGTTTGGTCCAGATCCGTCATTGTTTGAGTCCAAAGTGCTTTCTGGATGTATGTGAACTACAACTCCCAAACTCAAGGTCAATGCCCACCAAACCCTTCTAGTGTTTTCTGTTGGTCATGAGAGTCCTGTGTGCCAAGTTTGGTTCAATTCCATTGTTGATGGAGTTCAGACTGCTCTTTGATTATAGGTGAACTATAAATCCCAGCAACTACAACTCCCAAATGAAAAAAATCATTTTTTTTGTGTGATGGTCACTCCTTGTGTTGTGAGACGTTTTGTTGCCAAATGTGGTGTGATTTCGTTCATTGGTTCTTTTGTTTTTAAGGTACTCATTATGCACAGAGCATTTATATATATATAGATTTATTTACGACATTTATATGCCGCCCTTCTCACCCCGAAGGGGGCTCAGAGCGGCTCTCAGGGTATATATACATACAATACACTTTACTATTAGCATAGTACAATAGCAGCATTAAACACTGCTATATTGTACTACACCAATTATATTGTAATATTATTAATAATATTACATGTAATATAAATATATAATTACAGTATCATATTATTATTATTAGTAGTAGTATTATACTTAGCTACATTTTGTGATGATTTTTTGTGTGTGTCCGGAATGTTTTGAGAAACTGCAAGTTGCTTCTGGTGTGAGAGAATTGGCCATCTACAAGGACGTTTCCCTAGGGGATGCCTGAATGTTTTACCATCATGTGGGAGGCTTCTCTCATGTCCCCGTATAAGAAGCTGGAGCTGACAGACAGGAGCTCACCCCACTCCACGGATTCCAACCGCCAACCTTTCAGTCTGCAGTCCTGCCGGCACAAGGCTTTAACCCATTGTGTCACTGGGGGGTTCCATTTTGTGATGATAAATTTCAGAAAGCAGAGCCAATGTGATGTAGTAGTTTGAGTATTGGGCTAAGATCCCGGAGAGTGCAACATGCACAGATATCTATAACAACAAATACAAAAACTGCAGATTGCAAATCACAATTTCTATATTACAGGAAATTCGTCCTTAAATGTAACGTGGGAACATTAACATGATTAATTAGTAACTGTTTATAAATGAAAATTTGTTGATCTATATTTTGTCAACACAATGAAATTTAAGCTTCCAAAATAACAATTACTATATACCAGGAGATTTGTTCCGTCATCCGTCATCCATGGTTTACGTTGCCTTTTAGCTGCATGGGATAGCATTCCTTTGCATTTCCCCAGGGTTGCTATAGACCCAGCAGCACCCTGGAAGTTCGGAGCCCCTGGTGGCGCAGTGGGTTAAACCCCTGTGCCAGCAGGACTGAAGACCGTCAGGTCGCAGGTTCGAATCCGGGGAGAGGCAGATGAGCTCCCTCTACCAGCTTCAGCTCCTCATGCGGGGACATGAGAGAAGACTCCTACAAGGATGATAAAACAGATGACACACAACTCTATTACTCATTTCCACCCAATTCCAAGGAGGCCTCCCGGGTCCTGGACGAGTGACTGGCCGCTGTGTCTATCTGGATGAGGAGGAACAAGCTGAAGATCAATCCCGACAAGACAGAGGTCCTCCTGGTCGATCGTAAACCTGACCGGGGTATAGGGTGGCAACCTGTGTTGGACGGGGATACACTCCGATAGAATCAAAGAGTTGGAAGAGACCTCATGGGCCATCCAGTCCAACCCCCTGCCAAGAAGCAGGAATATTGCATTCAAATCACCCCTGACAGATGGCCATCCAGCCTCTGTTTAAAAGCTTCAAAGAAGGAGCCTCCACTACACTCCAGGGCAGAGAGTTCCACTGCTGAACGGCTCTCACAGTCAGGAAGTTCTTCCTCGTGTTCAGATGGAATCTCCTCTCTTGTAGTTTGAAGCCATTGTTCTGCGTCCTAGTCTCCAAGGAAGCAGAAAACAAGCTTGCTCCCTCCTCCCTGTGGCTTCCTCTCACATTTTTATACATGGCTATCATATCTCCTCTCAGCCTTCTCTTCTTCAGGCTAAACATGCCCAGCTCCTTAAGCCGCTCCTCATAGGGCTTGTTCTCCAGACCCTTGATCATTTTAGTCGCCCTCCTCTGGACACATTCCAGCTGAGGAAGAACCTCCTACAACATAGAAATTGTTATTTTGGAAGCTGAAATCTCATTATATTACATTTAACAATATTTGAGTTACTATTTCTGGTCATATTGAAATTGTGATTTGCAATGTGCAGTTTCTGTATTAGGATCCCAGAACAGCAAGGTCCAAATCCCCATTGACTGTGAAAGCCATTGACTGTTCTTGGACAAGTCATACTTTCTTAGCCTCAGATGAAGAACATTAAAAGCTTCACTGAATATTATACCTTGCCACAAAAATTCTAGGAGGGGGTCACTGTAATAGCAGTTGACTTGAAGGCACATAACAACAATAACAATACAGTTCCAAGATAATAGAATCATAGAATCATAGAGTTGGAAGAGACCTCATGGGCCATCCAGTCCAACCCCCTGCCAAGAAGCAGGAAAATTGCATTCAAAGCACCGCTTATTTATTTCTCGTGTCAGGGCAGCCAGTCAATTATATTACATTTCTAGCAGAACAAAGCAAACAAACAGAGAAAATACAAAATGTGTGAGTTTGGTAGTTGATTAAATGTCCTTTGACCAGTATCTGGCCACTTGGAGTGCTTCTGGTGTTGCTGCAAGAAGGTCCTCCATTGTGCATGTGGCAGGGCTCAGGTTGCATTGCAGCAGGTGGTCAGTGGTTTGCTCTTCTCCACACTCGCATGTCGTGGATGCCACTTTGTAGCCCCATTTCTTGAGGTTGGCTCTGCATCTCGGTGCCAGAGCGCAGTCTGTTCAGCGCCTTCCAAGTCGCCCAGTCTTCTGTGTGCCCAGGGGGGAGTCTCTCATTTGGTGTCAGCCATTGGTTGAGGTTCTGGGTTTGAGCCTGCCACTTTTGGACTCTCGCTTGCTGAGGCGTTCTAGCAAGTGTCTCTATAGATCTCAGAAAACTATGTCTGGATTTAAGTCATTGACGTGCTGGCTGATACCCAAACAGGGGATGAGCTGGAGATGTCACTGCCTTGGTCCTTTCACTATTGGCTGCCACTTCCCGGCAGATGTCAGGTGGTGCGATACCAGCTAGACAGTGTAATTTCTCCAGTGGTGTAGGGCGCAGACATCCACTGACAGATGGCCATCCAGCCTTTGTTTAAAAGCTTCCAAATATCTCCTGTTTATGATGCAAAATATACATTGCTGACATATGAATTCTGGGGTGACCTTTCCAGGAAATTGTTTTTATCCTGCAGTTTGAATCAAAAATATTTACAAACATATGTGACTGTGGCTGCAATGTAGCAGCAGGGAATATACAATGTCAATGTTACCTTTACTACACAAATCTGGTGAAAGCCTTTGGAACACCCTCCCCAAAGACATTAGACTAGCACCCATGTTGGCAGTCTTTAGGAAGAACTTGAAGACTTGGCTATTCTGATGTGCCTTTCCAGAATAGGATAATCTCCAGCACTCTGTCCCAGAAGCACTTTATTAGAGTTTAATAATCTCTGCACATTGCACTTGCCCAGAACTCCAACATACCACCTCACACACCCAGCACTTTTAACCTGTACCCATTGGCCCGGCCCCGATTTTATTGTGTAATAGTGTAATGTTTTGTTGTGTTATTGCTTATGTTTTTAATTTGCTTGCATTGTTATTGTTGGTTGTTGTTATGTTGAGGCCTTGGCCTTTGTAAGCCGCATCGAGTCCTTCGGGAGATGCTAGCGGGGTACAAATAATAATAATAATAATTAATAATAATAATAATAATAAGCCTGAGAAACTGCACAGCAAGGCCAAAGGAAGGAAGGAGGGACAAAGAAAGAACACACAGAAGGAAACTGAAACAAATCAGAGTTTCAACAAAGGGGGTCTTTCCCCCCTTCTCTAACTTGATTGGCTGTGCCCAATGTGCTCCTTGAAGAAGACGGATGGAAATGACAGAATCGTTGGCAAAAGCTTGCTCTAAATGCTGCCTGATAGACTTGCATAGCGAAGATAGAGTGAAATATATTTGTGGAGACGTGTTTTTCTTTCATAAACCATTTCCTTTTCACAGCAGTCCTTGGCCTGGTCTGCACATAGCTTTTGTACTTGGAAGGAGTGGTGTCATTTTAAATTAAATGGTACAATGCAGTCAATCCCAAGGCCTTGTTCAAGCGATTAAGCTCTGCTCCGGTGTGAGGAAGGAAAGGAGGTTATGAACTTGCTCCCTCTTCCCCTCCTGACCTCTCTCCTTGCTTACACTGGCGAGAGACTTGCTCAGAAGTCTGAATGCCTGTTTCTCTGGAAATAAGTCCAATCATCCGTCATTAATGAAAGATGGTATGGAGACAGTTGGACCTGAAGCTGGAGGGAAAGAGGGAGAAGATGTGAAGAAATATCAGCTGTAGTGCAGATTCTCAACTTGCTTCCCACCATAATTCAAAGTGCTTCGTCTTGACCAATAAGTTGCTCTTAAGGCAGTCTTCTTGAGGACCATCTTGTCACAAGAAATATAATGTGCAGAGTTGATAAATGTGGATTTGATATGTGTGGGTATGAATTGAATTGAATAAAAGATGAATGAATGAGAGCTAATTATTTTGGCAACACCATTCTAAAAGATTAAGGCCTGCAACTGATCCCTAATCCATCTAAAACACAGACATGTGCCTTTCACCTTAAGAACAGACAAGCATCCTGAGCTCTGAGGATTACCTGGGAAGGAACCCCACTGGAGCATTGCAACACACCCAAAAATACCTGGGAGTCACTCTGGACCGTGCTCTGACCTACAAGAAGCACTGCCTGAACATCAAGCAAAAAGTGGGTGCTAGAAACAATATCATACGTAAGCTGACTGGCACAACCTGGGGATCACAACCAGATACAGTGAAGACGTCTGCCCTTGCGCTATGCTACTCTGCTGCTGAGTACGCATGCGCAGTGTGGAACACATCTCACCACACTAAAACAGTGGATGTGGTTCTTAGTGAGACATGCCACATTATCACGGGGTGTCTGCGCCCTACACCACTGGAGAAATTACACTGTTTAGCCGGTATTGCACCACCTGATATCCGCCGGGAAGTAGCAGCCAATAGTGAAAGGACCAAGGCAGAGACATCTCCAGCCCATCCCTTGTTTGGGCATCAGCCAGCATGCCAACAACTTAAATCAAGAAATTGTTTTCTTAGGTCTACAGAGACACTCGCTGGAACACCTCTGCAAGTGAGAGTTCAAAAGTGGCAGGCTCAAACCCAGCACCTCAATCCATGGGTGATACCAGATGAGAGACTCCCCCCTGGGCACACAGAAGACTGGGCGACTTGGAAGGCACTGAACAGACTGCACTCTGGCACCACGAGATGCAGAGCCAATCTTAAGAAATGGGGCTACAAAGTGGAATCCACGACATGCGAGTGTGGAGAAGAGCAAACCACAGACCACCTGCTGCAATGCAACCTGAGCCCTGCCACATGCACGATGGAGGACCTTCTTGCGGCAACACCAGAGGCACTCCAAGTGGCCAGATACTGGTCAAAGGACATTTAATCAGCTACCAAGTTTGCAAAATGTGTGTGTTTTTTTATCTGTTTTTTTTTTGCTTTGTTCTTTTAGAAATGTGGTACAGTGTTCTGGTTGCGGATGACACGATAAATAAAATAAATAAGGCCCGCAATGACTAAATCATGAACTGCCTGCTTGAGGGATTGTAATTAAAGGTTGCTAATGAGAACTGAAATGGTAAACTGTTGACATTGATAAGAACTGCGACAGTGATAAGAAAAATGTTTACAGCGGAGCGGTTCACCCACTATGGTCTGGTCCATGGGAAGGACAGAGATGGTGTATGCCTCCTTTTCTCAAGGGAAGAGGAAAGAGTGTGGTTTTGGAATCATTAGACCTTTGCATGGAGTCAGGTTCTGCTGTATGGAAAACAGGGATCTAATCCTTTGGCATTGTGCCTGGGAAAAGAGATTTGGCATTATGGAACTTTTGGAACTATGAGTTGGCAGGCTGCGGGGAAGTAGGGTCTGGCCTAACAGGTGTTCTTCTCCAAGGAAAGAGAAAAATGTATGGTAATATTTGGATGCATGAGGATGGATGAATGTTTACATGTGAAGTTGAATGTTGAGTAAACATGTAACCACTTTGTTTGTTTGTTAGCCAATATAACTGTAAGTTGTGAATTCAATGTAATTACTAGGACTGGGTAACCACGGAAAAATTTGTTTCTAAACTCGATTCGTTTTTAGGGGGTTTTTGCGTTTCGTTTTTTAAAAGAATTCCGAAATTTTCCTTTAAAAAAGTTCGAAATATACGAAATTTCGTAAAATTATGAAACAATTACGAAATTGCTAAAAAAATACCCTCCAAATGGGAGAGGAGGAACTTCTGAAGCTTCCCTCTCCCTCTGTTGTTGACTGTTGGTGTGATAAAGCAAACAACAACTATAAAACTTGCACCAGACATACGGAAATAATTACGAAATAATTACGAAATAATTTCGAAATAATAACGAAACAATTACGAAATAAATTGAAAAAATTGTTTCGATTTTTAATTACTCCTGCATGGCTCAATATCGATCGTAAGCTAATTTAAATACGAATTAATAACGAATTACGAAATTAACGAACGAAACCGCCCAACCCTAGTAATTACATAGAATCTGTAGGTCTGTATGTACAATGTCATTCTTTGTGTAAAAGTGTAAAAGTTATGTAATTTGAGATATTTTCTCACACTGAAAATTGCAATAAAAAGAACCTGGTTTAAAAAGTGTTCATGACAATTTTCAAGTAGAGGCCTGCCTCTTGATATACCAGAACATGACACTGTTGGCCCTCCAACCCCCATTTTGTTGCAGAATCCACACAGATGTAAACCAAAAGTGGAGACCTTCCATCTGGACCTCAAACTGGTTCCAGGATTTCCAGTGTAATCAGCACCCTGTAAACACTTTCTTCTACGCTGGTTTGAAACTGTAGATCCCCCTTCCATAGAATTGCCTGGAGGACCTCAGAAATTTCTAGAGTGAACATACTTTGTCATATGTAGTAAAATGAAACTTCAGATATTGGTCCTGCAGGTTTAGGACTATTATATATTGCCGTATATAGGTAATGGGTGCTGTCCTTACTATTACTTTCTTCTCCTTACTTTCTTGTCCATGTTAATGCTTTACATAGGTATCGAGTCTTTTCAAGGATGGTACGATTGGAAGTGACATTAATATTGTGATTGTGAGCCTTCTTCTTTTGGAGCAGGAACCTGTAAGTTTCATTCATTGATTTTAATTATATTCTGCATTTATTTATTTATTTATTTATTTATTTATTTATTTATTTATTTCGGTTGCTTCTACCCCACCCTTCTCACCCCGGGGGGGGGGGGACTCAGGGAGACTTACAAAAGCAAGGCACAATTCGATGCCCGCATCACATAACAGCAAAAGACAATAACATCAGTTAACAGAAAACAGCAATTCTAGCAATAACAACAATTAACAGAAAACAATAATTATTATAGGCAAAAACAACCATAAAACCAATAAAAACCTCATTGACGGTCAGCGTTTCACAATGTCATAGTTCAAATTTCAATTCCACAATTGTCAGTCCTTTCAGTCCTATCCATCTGGTTTCCATATCTAATTGTCAGGTTGCCCAAAGGCCTGGTCCCACAACCACGTCTTTACCTTCCTCCTGAAGGCAAGGAGGGATGTTGATGCCCTAATTTCCCCCGGGAGTGAGTTCCACAGGTGAGGGGCCACCGCTGAGAAGGCCCTGCTCCTCGTCCCCACCAGCCTCACTTGTGATAGCGGTGGGGTCGAGAGCAGGGCCTCCCCAGATGATCTCAAATTCTGGGGTGGGACGTAGAGGGAGATACATTCAGACAGATACACAGGACCGGAACCGTAAAGTGTTTTGTAGGTCAAATCCAGCACCTTGAATTGTGCTCAGAATTGAATCGGCAACCAGTGGAGCTGACACAGCAGGGGGGTGGTGTGCTCCCTGTATGTCGCTCCGGTAAGCAATCTGGCTGCTGCTCGCTGGACCAGTTGAAGTTTCCGAACAGTCTTCAAGGGCAACCCCACGTAGAGTGCGTTGCAGTAGTCTATACGGGATGTAACAAGAGTGTGGACCACTGTGGCCAGATCAGACTACCCGAGGTACGGGCACAACTGGTGCACAAGTTTTAATTGCGCAAAAGCTCTCCCGGCCACCGCTGAGACCTGGGGTTCCAGGCCCAGCGATGAGTCCAGGATCACTCCCAAGCTGTGAACCTGAGTCTTCAGGGGGAGTGTAACCCCGTCCAGCACAGGCTGTAACCCTATACCCTGTTCGGCCTTACGACTGACCAGTAGGACCTCTGTCTCCTGCCTTCTGACTGGTCACACATGTGTCCCATTTTAACACCACCAGAGGAGCCCATGATAGCCAGGAATGTGGCTAGAACTCCATGACTGGTGAGGAATGGCAGCAAAATGGCCACAATCCATTCCCACTTCCTGCACTGATACATAGCAGAGAAAGAACTTCCCTGCCATATATCAGAATTTCCAGCAAAAGTGGAGCAGAATTTCCAGCTTTAGCCACTCCCCAAGATACTTACTGTAAGCTACTGTGGTTCATGGGAACAGCTCATGGTCAATTTGGGGTGAATCTGTTGTAGTTCAGCCAGCTGATGATGATGATGAGTGGTTTGGGGGTTCAGAGCCTGCAGGGCCTGATGCTTCTGGAGGTACTCAGACAGAGGGGATATTGGAACAGGATGGTGATTCTCTGGTTGGGAGAACGGAGGAGGATTTGGAATTAGATGCTGATTCTCTGTGTGAAAATGAAACAGTTTCTGAAGCTGACAAGCAGAGAAAGGAGGCGGTCATGAGTTCACCCAATGAAGGGGAATTAGACAGAGAATCAAGGTGGCCCCTGTGGGGGAAGAATTCCAGGTGCAAATTGAGGCCTGGAAAAGAGCGGCTCAGACAGGCTTCTCAAGCCCAGCGACATGTCTTCATGCATTGCTATCCTTAATTAGGGAAAAGATGCTCTTGGGATTCAGATCAAGCAACTCCTGCCTTGTTCCCGGTGCCGTTATTGATTCAAACCAAATTTCCTAGTTAAGTTTTGCTGCCAGTCTTGGGGATTTTACTCATGGACTCAAGCTCAGTGGCATCGCCCACTCAGCAAGGCAAGGAACATGATCATCACAGTCACCTTTAGACTATAAACTACTTTATTTACAGCTATACACAGTAGCACTTTGTAAAATTGCTTCATCTCCGTCAGGTAGCTACATCACGAACACACAGAACATGCTGTTATCAGTACTAGTCCACACCTCCTGCATTCCAGAGTGACGTATAATGTTCGATTCACGATGCTATGTCCACTGCTCTATACACTTTGATTTATGACCTCTCAAGGAATGCCGTTCCCTCCATGGTTCAGTTAACTCTTTCCACACAGGAATACTCTCGGCACAAAGCTACTGCATTTTAAACATACATACATACATACTTTGAAATCTACATTACACATTGCAAAACATTTCAACAGTTTTGTTCCTTGTTTTTGGGATTATTCAAGATCATGTTTTATTTCTTGTTTCTTGGATTAAGCAAGCCCACGTTTTGTTCCATGTATCTTGGATTCCTGTTCACGCTTTAACATTTGCATTAGAGATTTATGTCTGACTTTTTGGGGCTTCTTCTTTCTTCACATATTTGGATTTTACTCTTTTACTGTATGTAAACTGTTTATAACTACGTTGGGCTTCCTGGTGAGTGCTTGAACAAGGTGAACTCCTGCTGAGGTGCAACAGAATCTGTGTGTTGGACTTATGTAGGCAAGTCCTTCCAAGCATATTTTCTTCTGTGATTGTTGGCAGTTAAATTTATATTTGTCTATGAATTCTTTGTAGGGTGGACTGGTGATCAACCATCATGCAGACCAATCATTAAACAGCTTTTGTCAATGGCAATCAGCTTTAGTTGGAAAGAACGGGAAACGTCATGATCATGCCATCTTGCTCACTGGATTTGATATATGCTCCTGGAAGAATGAGCCATGTGACACTTTAGGTATGACAAGGACATATTCTGGGTGAATTGATATTCTTGTTCTGAAGCAAGTAACATGATTATTCAGAATTGCAACTTCAATCCAGTATTGCCAAATACTGCAGTGCAGTTGGTTAGTTGATTGTGGGTTTGTTTGTGTGTGTGTTTTTCAATTAAGATCTCCTGCCAATAGACATGCATATAAGTATAGCCAAAAGTAAAAGCGATTGATGCATTTGTTTTCAATTACTATTGTCCTGTAAAGGTTTGGAGAATGTTTGGTATAGCATCTGTGTGGCAGAACGAAAATCACGTTTTACCAGTCCACACACTGTCTTGCCAGAGAAAGAAAATATGCCACACATATGATCAGTAAAAGAACAAGGAGTTTACTCTTTGTAATGCAGAGCAACGTATTCTCCCCTATGAACCATCAAGATTATTAAGATCGTCTGGAGAGGCCCTGCTCTCGGTCCCACCAGCCTCGCAAGCGCGTCTGGTGGGGACGAGGGACAGGGCCTTCTCGGTGGTGGCCCCTCGACTCTGGAACTCTCTCCCACTGGAGATCTGAACCGCCCCGTCTATCCTGACATTTAGGAAACAGGCGAAGACTTGGCTATGGAGACAGGCATTCGACGAGTGAGCCAATACCCTGAGATATATGGATGGAGAATGATGAGCAATGATTTTAGTGTGATGACTGACCATTATAGTTATTGATTGTAATTGCTTTTTTAATGTTTTACTGTAATATGTATTATGATGTTTTATTGATTGTATGTGATATTATGGTCTGAGTCCCTCAAGAGAGGTGAGAAGGCTGGTGTACAAAACTTTATATATATATATATATATATATATATATATATATATATGGCTTGGGTAACAACGGAAAAATTTGTTTCTAAACTCATTTCGTTTTTAGGGGTCCATCGCGTTTCGTTTTTTTTAAAGAATTCCGAAATTTTCCTTTTAAAAAATTTCGAAATATACGAAATTTCATATAATTATGAATCGATTCGTTAATGGCGGACACAATTGCGCAATATGCTAAAAAAACCTCCAAATGGGACAGGGGGAACTTCTGAAGTTTCCCTCTCCCTCTGTTGTTGACTGTTGGTGTGATAAAACAAACAACAACTATAAAACTTGCACCAGGTATGCGAAAATAATTATGAAATAATTACAAAATAATTACGAAATAATTATGAAACAATAACGAAATAAATTGAAAAAATTGTTTCGAATCTAATTTACTCCTCACACTATTCCTGCATGGCTCAATATTAGATCGTAAGCTAATTTAAATACGAAATAATAACGAATTACGAAATTAACGAACGAAACCGCCCAAGCCTAGTCTTTAGGTGTCCATGTGAGAGATCTTCTTCCAGCAGCCTAGAAGCAAAATTCATACCGTCTCACTGTGTGCTACTGCACAGCTCAAGCCTAAATATGTAACTGTTGCCAAAACTCCCAGGCTCGGCTAGCCTCTTGGGCATGGCCCAACCAATCAGATTCATGCTTTGCATTTTCAGTCAACACACTCACCAACTGATTTTTTTACATGCCCTAACAATCTGGAATGGACTTTGTGGATTTTCTCTATAAACATTTGTAATTCAAGAAGGTGTGATGGTAAATGCATCTCAGTTTTTTAAAATTCTAAATATGAGGAGAGGGATAAATATCAAGGCTATGCAAAATAAGGATCTAACTTTTGCTCGTCATAATCCACAATTTAATTGCCTCATGCTGATATTAGATTCAAAAATAGTTTTAATTGGCACAAAGAAGGCCTTTCCAAAGATTGGGAAAGGTTTTATTTGCAGGATGGAAGGTGAGATGAACTGCATATACCAATGTGCTCAATCCAGGTCTCATCAAGACATTCAGCTATTATTTAGAAGAGAAATCTAGAGAAGTGTATAGTACATTAACTATCATGATTGATCCCCTGTCTCATAGCTTGGAAAAAATATAGAATGTTTGCTCTTCCTGTCTTCTTTTTTCTTACTCTTCATGTGAAACAATACCTTGGATTGTTCATACATTTATGAACTTTTTATAACTTGGTAGCATTTATAAACTTGGCGATCATATAGGAAGCGCCTGTAGTATTTTGATAATGAAGCAATTGTAACCATATTATTAGCAGGATTTTGCAATGCCAATTCATTCTGAAACTTCAGGAATATTCCATGTACAGTACATCCTTCCATACAAAACATGCAAGCAAGAATTGATGTGTATCTCTGAGAGCTATTTGCTATCTGTATCTGTTTATTGCTTATGATGGCTGTTTTATTATTGTTATAATGTCTTATGCTGTTCTATATTATTGTTATATTTTATATGCTATGTTTTTAACTCTGTGTTACTGGGCTTGATCCCATGTAAGCAGGCCCGAGACCCTTCGGGGAGATGGAGGCAAAGTATAAAAATACAGTATGACCCATGCTGTGATAAACATAAGGAACTTCCAAAAGTTTGTCTGATCTTGAACATTAGAAATCTATATATATATAATCCAAAAGGGCGACCTTAGGGACTACAAAACGCGAAAACTCCCGGACGAAAACTCACCAAACTTGCCATACACATACCTCAAACCACAAGGTATGCACAACAGTGATCACAATTCAAAACAACATTACAACAAACTCACAATCACAGAAACAAACAGAGAATGCGTAGAGGCGTCCCGGCGTGAGCCACCTGGCGCCACGCCCCCTCCGCGGAAGCCACTCCCTTCACCGCCCCGCCCCTACCTGGCCATACGCCATCCTTCCCCTCCTCCTCCTCTGCCTCCCATGCCCCCTCTGAGAAAGACACGCCCCCACCCTCCGCCGCCCCGCCCCTACCCGCCCATACGCCATCCTTCCCTCCTCCCCTCCTCCTCCGCCTCCTCACCCCCCTCTGAGAAAGCCACGCCCCCACCCTCCCGCCCCTGCCCCTACCCGCCCATACGCCATCCTTCCCTCCTCCCCTCCTCCTCCTCCCCGCCCACTCCCCCCCAGAAACCACGCCCCCCCTTTCACCGCCCCACCCCTTCCCACACTGACACAATCCTTCCCTCCTGCCCCTCCTCCTCCGCCGGTCACGCCCCTTCAGAGTGAAGGAAGGAAGGAAAGAGAAAGAGAGGGAAGAAAGGAGACAAAGAGGAAGGAAAAGAAAAAGGGAGGAGGAAGGAAAGAGGTACAGAAGGAAGGAGGAGAGAAGGAAAGAAAAAAGGGAAGGGAGGAAAGACGCAGCAAAGGAAAAAGAGAAAGAAGGAGAGAAAGATGCAGGGAAGGAAAGAAATAAGGAGAAGGAAGGATGAAAGCAAACACCTAAGGAAGAAAGTAAACAGGTAGAGAAGGAAGAAAAGAAAGAAGAAAATGGAATGAAGGAAGGAGTGAAAGAAGCAGAGAAAGAGGGAGAGAAGGCTGGCCACAGCAACGCGTGGCGGGTAAAGCTAGTAAATGATATAAATGAAGATTAGACTTTATAAAATGTATATTTAAAATAATAGTGAAAACAATGTGGTAAACATGGGAGGAAATAGCTGGAAATATTATTTTGGTATTGTTACATTATGCAGGCAGATGTTGCACTCCAGAACAGGAAAAGCCCTCTGATTTTAAGCACCACACATTGAATAGGAAAACAATCCTTTTATTGAAGATAATTAAAAAGCAGCAAAGTAAAAATCACTTTAAAGAAATAGGTAAATCCAATTAGGTAAGAAGATAAGCAGGAACAAAATAGTCCAGGGTAAAGTTCAGCAAAGTCCACGAAAACAAAGTCCACACTTCTCTAATATAATCCAGAAAACCAGGAAACATTAATCCAAGGCATTAGTATGTAGTCATAAAATCCAAGAATCAAAACCATGAAACAAGAAATACTTAAACATGAATCTTCCAAGTTAGGCTTCCATGAAACAAGGACGAGAACTGAACTTGATTCCAAACAATGCTTCATCTGACTACATTTCTCAGACTTGGGACTTTTATCCCCTTGTTCAGCTATCCTAAGCACTCAGAAATTGGTTTCACTTTAATTGAGATTCCCTTATCTATTTTTGTTCGAACCTGGCAGAACGCCAAAGCCATTGTTCAGCTTGTCTGTTTTCACTAATCTCCTGCCATCTATCTATTTGTTCATTAACTTCTGCAGGTGCCAAGTTGTTTTCAAGCCCCAAATCCTGGGAATTCTCTGGTAGCAATTCAGGGAGTACACCATCATCCCCACACCCTTCGGGGACATTCTCATGGGAAACTACACTTTGAACAGGGATCTCCTGTTCATTCTCTGCATCAATATCATTGACCAAACCATTGCCATCTTGAAACTCATTGACATCACTCCCCACATCCAAAGCACCCTGATCCTGAAACACAATCACAGGCTGCGCTCCAACAGCAAAGGGAGCACTAGAGAGAGTAGGATAGTTCATTTTATTGAGGGGAGGGAGCTGAAGGAAAAACGAAAATTCAAAGATACAAAATGGGGGACGCCTGGCTTGAGAGCAGTACGTGTGAAAAAGATCTTGGAGTCCTCGTGGACCACAAGTTAAACATGAGCCAACAATGTGATGTGGCGGCAAAAAAAGCCAATGGGATTTTGGCCTGCATCAATAGGAGCATAGTGTCTAGATCTAGGGAAGTAATGCTACCCCTCTATTCCGCTTTGGTTAGACCACACCTGGAATATTGTGTCCAATTCTGGGCACCACAATTGAAGAGAGATGTTGACAAGCTGGAATGTGTCCAGAGGAGGGTGACAAAAATGATCAAGGGTCTGGAGAACAAGCCCTATGAGGAGCGGCTTAAGGAGCTTGAAGATGAGAAGGATGAGAGGAGATATGATAGCCATTAAGGCTGGGCGGTTTCGTTTCGTAATTTCGTAATTCGTTAAAAATTCGTTATTTTTTTTATATAACGAAGCGATAACGAACCATTCAGGAGCAACTAAAAAACGAAACGAATTTTTAAATTCGTTTCGTAATGGTTTCGAATTCGTTATGTATTCATTTCGTTATTGTTTTGAAATCGTTTAGTTATTATTTCCGCATGTCTGGGGCAAGTTTTATAGTTGTTGTTTGTTTAATCAGTGAAAAAAAATTATAAATATCACACCAACGGTCAACAACAGAGGGAGAGGGAAGCTTCAGAAGTTCCCCCTGTCTCATTTGGAGGTTTTTTAGCGTATTGCGCGGTCGCGTCCGCCATTAAGGAATCGATTCGTAATTGTTTCGTAATTGTTTCGTATTGTTTTGTAATTTACAAAATTTCGTAAATATCGAACTTTTAAAAAGAAAAATTTCAGAATTCTTTTAAAAATCGAAACGCAAAAACCCCCAAAAAACGAATCGATTTTAGAAACAAATTTTTCCGTGGTTGCCCAGCCCTAATAGCCATGTATAAATATGTGAGAGGAGAGGAAGCCACAGGGAGGAGGAAGCAAGCTTGTTTTCCGCTTCCTTGGAGACTAGGACGCGGAACAATGGCTTCAAACTACAAGAGCGGAGATTCCATCTGTACATGAGGAAGAACTTCCTGACTGTGAGAGCTGTTCAGCAGTGGAACTCTCTGCCCCGGAGTGTGGTGGAGGCTCCTTCTTTGGAAGCTTTTAAACAGAGGCTGGATGGCCATCTGTCAGGGGTGATTTGAATGCAATATTCCTGCTTCTTGGCAGGGGGTTGGACTGGATGGCCCATGAGGTCTCTTCCAACTCTTTGATTCTATGATTCTATGAAGGAGGAAAACCATTTACCCCATTTCCACTGGTTCTTCCCTCTCCCCGCTTCCCATATCATAAAAAAGGGTTGTTTCCACGATGGGGACATGAGTGTGTATGTGTGTGGGTTGTTGTTGTGGTTCATTCGTTCAGTTGTCTCCGACTCTTCGTGACCTCATGGACCATCCCACGCCAGAGCTCCCTGTTGGCCGTCACCACCCCCAGCTCCTTCAAGGTCAGTCCAGTTGCTTCAAGGATGCCATCCATCCATCTTGCCCTTGGTCAGCCTCTCTTCCTTTTACCTTCCACTTTCCCCAGCATAATTGTCTTCTCTAGGCTTTGCTGTCTCCTCATGATGTGGCCAAAGTACTTCAACTTTGTCTCTAGTATCCTTCCCTCCAGTGAGCAGTCGGGCTTTATTTCCTGGAGGATGGACTGGTTGGATCTTCTCGTAGTCCAAGGCACTCTCAGAACTTTCCTCCAGCACCACAGTTCAAAAGCATCTATCTTCCTTCGCTCAACCTTCCCTAAGGTCCAGCTCTCACATCCGTAGGGTGTGTGGGTAAAGGGGGGGATAACAGGAAAACAGGGGGAAATTGTTTTCCTCCTTCAACCCACCCTCCACCACCATAAATTGAACTTTCCTTTGCTCCTTAGCGCCCCCCTAGTGGCCTTCTCCTGGATAATGGAATAGTAGCATGCTTTTTCTTCTACTGTACTATGAGTGCTCAACAAAAGCTAATTGGTAAAACTAACAAACTGTTTAGAAAGTCTTCATTTTGATGGGATTTCTACCCAAAAGCACAGCTACTGAATAATCTGATGACTAGGACAATCTGGTGTGAAAAAACAAACGAGAAAGTATTAAAGTGATGCCAGTCTTTCGCACATTTCTTCTCTAGTTATTATCAACTCATTAGGATTTGAAAAAGAAGTCTTCTCATTTTGGATGGCCATTGGGGAATCTACAGTTCAGTCATGTTGTTTTAGATTTATAAAATATCTCTGGCACGCTTGTTCTTTCTGGCTGACCTTCAGAAAAGAGCTGGCGCCCCTTTTCAAAATAGCTTTCCCAGCTGACTGGACTGATGTTGAGTCAGCAGAGAAAATGAGCCCTGTTAGTTTTGTAGGCCAGCTGCTGCAGACAGAATGCATTTTTTCTTGGACCGGGCCCAACATTACCATGTGCATTAGGGTTTGCCTTCTGTATTCCTTCTACCTGACAAAACTAGATGTGTTCTGAATTCTTGTAGGAAATATCTCTGTTTTAGGCTGGATCTACATTGCCATATAAAATCCAGATTATCTGCTTTGAACTGGATTACGGTATATGGCATTGTAGACTCATATCATCCAGTTCAAAGCAGATAATGTGGATGATCTTAATTGATGATATGGATTATGTGGCAGTGTAGATCCTGCCTTAGTATGCATGAGGTTATATTCCCCAATATATAATAATAATATTTATTTATTTGATCAGTCATATGACCATTTCAAAATAGAACACGAGTAAAAAACAAGGCAACAAGGTGATAAGTCAGACTCTTATTTTCCTGGTTCTTCTTTCAGGAATTCTGCTCTTTTCTTAATAGCTTTCAGAATAAAAAGGCTTACTCTGATTATGCTGGATCTTTCCTGCCCTTGCAAGAGGGATGCCAGAATATCATTTCTGTTGGGGGACCTGCAGTTGGATAATATTGGATGTAAATATTAGGGTTGGGCGGTTTGGTTCGTTAATTTCGTAATTCGTTATTAATTCATATTTAAATTAGCTTACGATCCGATATTGAGCCATGCAGGAGTAATTAAAAATCGAAACAATTTTTTCAATTTATTTCAAAATTGTTTCGAAATTATTTCCGTATGTCTGGTGCAAGTTTTAGGGTTGTTGTTTGTTTTATCAGTGATAAAAACTAAATTATCACACCAACAGTCAACAACAGAGGGAGAGGGAAGCTTCAGAAGTTCCCCCTGTCCCATTTGGAGGGTTTTTTAGCATATTGCGCAATCGCGTCTGCCATTAACAAATCGATTCGAAATTAACGAAATTTTGTAAATAACGAAACTTTGAAATCTCAAAATTTCGGAAGTATTTAGAATTAGGAAACGCTAGCGCTCCCTGGAAACGGATCGAGTTTAGAAACAAATTTTTCCGTGGTTACCCAGCCCTAGTAAATATCTGTCTCTCAGTTCAGTGTATGCTGGACAGTCAATGAAGAAATGTTCAATGTCTTCCACTGTTTATTCTCCCCAGACGCAGAATCTCTCACTTCTTGGGATGTTACAGTAATGCCCGGTTTGCACCATAGTACCAAGTTGTTCAAACCTAGCCCTAGTATATATTCTTCTTAAGGGTAGAGGAAGTGGAATAGTTAGGTAGTGCTCTAAATGAATATTCCTTTTGTTGGAAGCTAAAAACCTTGTGGCTGAAGACTTACCTATGCTCTCTAGGTCCAGCTGTGCATAGACATCCTGAATGCGCCGCTTGAGCACTTGCCCTGTCCCCGGACCCAGAACACCCAGAAATTGCAAATGCAGACCGAATCCAGCCAGCTCATTATTCCCCAATATATGTACACCTTAACATCTTATAATTTTGGAAAAATTATTTCATCCCCAATGCAAAAATTAGCAGGAACTAATTTTTGCATACCAAGATTATGGCAACAACAATGATTGACAACTGGGAAATAGAGGGAGAAAACATGGAGGCAGTGACAGACTTTGTATTTCTAGGTGCAAAGTTTATTGCAGACACAGACTGCAGCCAGGAAATCAGGAGACACTTACTTCTTGGGAGGAGAGCAATGTCCAATCTCGATAAAATAGTGAAGAGTATAGACATCACACTGGCAACGAAGATCCACACAGTTAAATCAATGGTATTCCCCGTTAGTCACCGATGGATGTGAGAGCTGGACCATAGGGAAGGTTTAGTGAAGGAAGATAGATGCTTTTGAACTGTGGTGCTGGAGGAAAGTTCTGAGAGTGCCTTGGACCACCAGAAGATCCAACCAGTCCATACTTCAGGAAATAAAGTTCGACTGCTCACTGGAGGGAAGGATATTAGAGACCAAGACGAAGTCATTTGGCCACATCATGAGAAGAAAGGAAAGCTTAGAGAAGACAATTATGCTGGGGAAAATGGAAGGAAAAAGGAAGAGGGGCCAACCAAGGAATGCTTGAAGTGACTGGATTGACCTTGAAGGAGCTGGGGGTGGTGACGGCCAACAGGGAGCTCTGGCGTGGGCTGGTCCATGAGGTCATGAAGAGTTGGAAATGACTGACCGAATGAACAACAACAACAATTTTTGCATTGTTGCACAAGGACAATCATTTGGATGCATTACATGAATCTGTATTTTAAGATGGAATTTGTAACTCTGATTAAATAATAATTATAATATTAATTATTTAGTGTAAACGTATTTGCTTAGCCTTTAAATCGCCACCACCAACTACTATCAGCCATTAAAGTCTATTTATCTTTCTCTTTATCTGTCTGTCTGCCTATCTGTCTGTTTGTCTTTGGGACATCCTGTGTGTATACACAGACACAGTTTTGTTGCTTTCTCCTATAATTCTGCCATTTTTCATCACTTCTTGGCAGGTTTTGCTCCAATCAGTGGAATGTGCAGCAAATACCGCAGTTGTACCATCAATGAAGACACTGGGCTTGGTCTGGCATTTACTGTTGCTCATGAATCTGGACACAAGTAAGATATTTCTCGTGAGTCTTTCTCCCTATAAGCTACTTCAGCATGATGATGATAATTAAACTGATATGTAAATACACTTTTATTTACTAATTAAATTTATTTTCCTCTAGAATCTATGGTTCCCAGTCTTTCTCACCCTCCTCCCTTCCAGAATTCCTGACAATTAATCAAATTGTCTGGAGGCTTCTAGGCAAGAGCAAGCATTTTAAATAGGCAGTATGTGGTCAGAGAACCACAGGGAAAGCTGGTTCTACTGTGTTGAGAATCAGGAAGGTTTAGGCTTTTAGCCTGTGTGGTTTACATAGGTCAAGTTGACTTATTTAGAATAGTAGTTAGGGTTTGAGTAAAAAGGGGAAGAGAACCCCAGTAAGAATCTTTACTGTAACAGAGATAACAGAGGGAAAGAATAGGCTAGTACTTGGAGTGATCTGTTAAGGAAAGAAACACATTTTGAAGGAAATAAGTTTAAAACCTGTCTAGTGGAAAGAATAGTCCTCTTAAGAGTTGTTTTATGAAAGGTTATAAATGTAACCACTAAAGGAATGTACCTCTAGGAGTTAAGAAACATTGAAATCATTAAGCTTCTATACTTCAATAAACTTATTACAGTTTCTCTTAAATCCAAGTCTCTGTTTCGTATACTTTCAAGTCAAGCAGCTTTATACATCAAAGGAAGATAAACAAAATATTACGGGCTAGTGGCTGTGTTATTGATTTTGTAGTTTCATTACAAATTGTAGGAGACCCTGACAAATCAGTAACATCTCTACAACTGGTGGCGTCGTTACAGCAAGGAATTGTAGTTCAAAAAACCCCTGAAGACTACAAGTTCAGCCCTGGAATAGACATGGAGACTAGGTCTTGTCACTAACAGCAAGCTGTGGTAGCTATGAGAAGCCTGCTTCTTCAGAGATAATGTGTTATGAGCAAGATGCTAAGGAGTAGCCAAGCTCATCCTTGTTGTCTTCCCCATGGATTTGTGTTGTTTATTCATTTATTCATTGTCTATTCATTCAGTCGCTTCCAACTTTTTGTGACCACATGGAACAGCCCATGCCAGAGCTCCCTGTCAGCCATCTCCGCCCCCAGATCCTTCAAGGTCAAGTCAGTCACTTCAAGGATAACATCCATCCATCTTGGCCTTGGTCGGCCCCACTTCCTTCCATTTTTCCCATCATCATTATCTTCTCCAAGCTTTCCTGTCTTCTCATTATGTGGCCAAATACTTCATCTTTATCATGGATTTATTAGAAGGCATTTGACTGACACCTAAGAGAAGAAGATCTTGGACAAGTTAGGTTTCTTTTCTAATTTAATGCATCCTTTCTTATATATTTATATTGACATAATTTTTGATGTTTTGGAATCTAGCATATGGCATCAACTGGCTATTTTGACAGATTATTTAACATTTTGTAACTACAATTTCCTACCTCACCTTTTTCAGAAAGGGATTGGTACACAATGCCTTCAAGCAAATTAATGTTTGTCATGATGTTACATTCCCAAGGTATCAGTAGCAGACTAACTGTCGTACTGAGCATGAAGGCGAGATTAAATCCAGAATGCCCTTTGTTTGGGAAACTGTACGGAAATACATCCCACATAGAAGTTCCCCTTTGTTTGCTGACAGTTCCATTCAGCTCACCCCCTTTTGTCAATAGGCATGCCGCTGTCATCCCATTTACGTGTTACATGAATCTGATTCTGCATGACTGCTTCAAGCTTTTCAGTTGTCATTGTGCAAATATGCTGTAAACCATCTGCTGTGACCTCATGTCTACCAAGAGTGGCCTCTTTTGCGGCTTTCTGTCCATCTGAAAGGAAATGAGGACTTAAAGGCTAATCCTAAAAGCAGGGGTAATTTTGCTTAGGATTTCAAGGGGGGCAGGATGGAAGGTAGCAACAGTGTCAAAGAAATTATAGGATTCAGAATGGTACATTTTAGGATGTGTGCAGATATATATTTTCAGTGGTGAGAATGTGAAGGAACATGGATAAAGAATTTAGAATGTAACTGACCTATGTAGTATTGTATAGGTTGACTTCTTGTATATGTTGAGAGAAGGTCTAGGATCCGAAATGATGGATTTTGATATTATCCATGGATTGGCCAAGGATATTTTTGTAGAAAATAATATTGAAATCAATGGGAATAACACGAGAACATGGTGCAAGGGTATTCTAGCATCCTAAGAACATTCGGGAAAAAAAGCATGGTCAGGAGATGTAGTGGAGTTGAGCTTTTCCCTCATCTATTAATTTCACATTTTTCTTACTAATGAATTGTGCCTTATGAAAAGAGATGGTGTTTAATAATATAGTATACTAGCCACCCCCTACCACACATTCCTGTGGCCCAGTCTAGTGATCTGGAAATAAAATAATGAGAAAGTGTTGGTTTCTGTTATATGTAATTTCTTTATACTTGTGGGTAAACAGAATTTCTTGCTGTTTCTTTGTCAATGTTGATGTAGAGCTTGTCTGGTTTGCCTACTCTGGAACATGGAACATATAATTGTCCTTCTTTAGGGGTCCCTTTCAAAGCTATGATGCTATATCTGTCACATACTAGGGCTGGGCGGTTTCGTTCGTTAATTTCGTAATTCGGTATTGATTCGTATTTAAATTAGCTTACGATCCGATATTGAACCATTCAGGAGCAACTAAAAATCGAAACGAATTTTTCAATTCATTTCGTAATTGTTTCGTAATTGTTTCGAAATCGTTTCGAAATCGTTTCGAAATTGTTTCGTTATTATTTCCGTATGTCTGGTGCAAGTTTTATAGTTGTTGTTTGTTTTATCAGTGATAAAAAAATAAATTATCACACCAACAGTCAACGACAGAGGGAGAGGGAAGCTTCAGAAGTTCCCCCTGTCCCATTTGGAGGGTTTTTTAGCGTATTGCGCAATCGCATCCGCCATTAACGAATCAATTCGTAATTGTTTTGTAATTTCCAAAATTTCGTATATTTCGAACTTTTTTAAAGAAAAATTTTGGAATTCTTTTAAAAAACGAAACGCAAAAACCCCCTAAAAACTAATCGAGTTTAGAAACAATTTTTTCCGTGGTTGCCCAGCCCTATCATATACATATATGTGTGTGTGTGTGAATCATATCTATCTATCTATATCTATGGCCAGATGGCTCTTTGTCAGGTGGGCTTGGATTATGTTTTCTTGCCCTGGTGAAGGGAGTTGGATTGGATGGCTGTAAGGCAGCATTTCTCAACCTGAGGGTTGTGAGGGGGTATCAGAAGGATCTCCAAAGACCATCAGAAAACACAGTATATTCTGTTGGTCATGGGGGTTTTGTGTGGGAAGTTTGGCCCAATTCTATCGTTGGTGGGGTTCAGAATGCTCTTTGATTGTAGGTGAACTATAAATCCCAGTAACTACAACTCCCAAATGTCATGGTCTACTTCCTCCAAACTTCATATTTGGTCATATGAAGTATTCGTGCCAAGTTTGGTCTAGATCCTTCATTGTTTGAATCCACAGTGCTCTCTAGATATAGGTGAATTACAACTCCCAAACTCAAGATCAATTGCCCACCAAACCCTTCTAGTGTTTTCTGTTGGTCATGGGAGTCCTGTGTGCCAAGTTTGGTTCAATTCCATCATTGGTGGAGTTCAGAATGCTCTTTTTGATTGTAGGTGAACTATAAATTCCAGTAACTACAACTCCCAAATGACAAAATCATTTTTTTAAGTGATGGTCACTTCTTGGGTTAGTAGGAGTCTTGTGGCCAAATTTGGCAGCAATTCGTTCAGTGGATTTGTTGTGATTCAGGTTGACTCTGAGTCTGAAGCTGAGCTGTTTGGGCCTTCTGAGACTGACTTTGGGCCTTCAGAGCCTGATTTCCTGCAGGATGACGAGGAAGCTGATGGGTTACAGATTCCTGTACATGATTCAGACGGGGCTGATAGTGTGGCTGCTGAAGGAGAAACAACAAGTCAGTTCCCCGGGGAAAGTAATGTTCCTGCAGTTAGAGAGACTTATAGCGAGAGTGAAATCCCACATGGCCAGGTGGAGGATCCGTCCCAGCTGGACCCAGATAAGGGGTTGCATAGCCTTGCAGATAATGAATTAATGAGTAGACAAGATCATTTGCAATTAAGGCTTCAGAGAAGCACTCGTTTGGCCAGCAAGCAAGAAGCCAAAGGTGCCCAAGGTCAACACAATGCTTTCATGTTCGCAAAGGGTATTTAGTAGGCCTGGGCGGTTTCGATCGTTAATCTTGTATATCGTTAAAAATCGTTTTTTTTCCCATTTACGGAGCGATATCAAAAATTTTTTTCAAACCCGGAAGGGTTTAAAAATAACGATCCGGCATGCTCCATGATGTTTACGGGCTTACGCCCGTGTCGGTAATGGCCGGAGGATCGATTACGATGCAGATTTCAAACCCGGAAGGGTTTCCAAATGACGATCCGGCATCCTCCGTCCTTTCTACGAGCTTCCGCCCGTTTCGGAAATGGGACGGAGGATGGTTATGCCTGGGAGCCAATCCGGCGCTCCCAAGCACCCCTGCAAGGCAACCGTGGCTGATTTTGATTGGCCGGGAGGGCCTTTAAAAGCGGCTCCGCGTGGCCGCTTTGCTCATTGTTGCGGCGGCGAGGGAGAAGGGAGGTCGGGAGGGAGGCTTGTATTGGCTTGTATTGGCTTCTGGCTGCATTGGCTTCTGGCTGCATTGGCTTCTGGCTGCATTGGCTTCTGGCTGCATTGGCTTCTGCTGTGGCTGCTGGCATTGGCTTGCAGCAGTTTTTAATTTTTGAAAAATACCTTTTTTTATTCTTAAAAAATTAAGATTCTTTAAAAAAGAAAGTGAGCCTGTGTGTGTGTGAGCCTGTGTGTGTGTTTTTTCCCCCCTGTCTTGTGGCTGTTCTCTCCACAGCAGGGAGAGCAGAGCATTTTGTTAATTTTCCATTTCTGAATATTTTCTTAAAATACCTTTTTTTTAAAAAAAATACAAAAAATATTACAAAAAAAGGA